CATCTTTGACTCCAAAACAAAAAAATTTGTAATTTTGAGATCGTCCTCGCCACTTATGCCACGTCTTTTTTCTTTTTTTTTTTGTAAAAAAAATCTTATACAAAGTTTGATAAATGTAGAATTTAAATATCACCCTCAATATTTAAAAAGAAAATTATAATTTAATAAAGTTATAAATTGTGATTCAATTTATTTTCTATTAAAATTTTACATTTTTACTTGAAAAGAATGAAGGCAAATCCCGTCCAAGAACAATGTTAATTTTTTTGGAATAAAAGTCCAAGAACAATGTTCACCACTTTCGAGGAAGACAAATTAGAAAATGTGACGTCTATTGTGGTTGGCTAATAAAGTAAGGACTCAACATTTCATTTGTCCATTGTCAAATTCAATTGACGGCAACTTTTTATAAATAGACAATGTGTAAATACTATCATGATACCCTAAGCTAATGGCATATTCTATCTTGAGTTGGAGTAATCTTCTCTGTCCTTGAACTTTCAAAAGAAATTTAGTTTTTTTTTTTTTGAAACAAAGGAGGTTGACCCAATTAAGCTTAGATTGAAGCAAATATTTAGTCAACCAAACTAGATTGACCATCTCACTTATCTTTTTTTTCTTTTCTTTTCTTTTTTCGAAATGGAGAGGATTCCTCAACCAATTTTTTTAAAATAAACGTGTGAAGTTAGGTTCAACTCCATTATAAAATGATTAGGACCAAGTAAGCTCTCAAAAAGCATGAAAAATGTCTGCAATACACTAATAAAAAGGTTTGAATAGGCAGATTAAAGAAGGAAAAAAAAAAGGTTTGAACGGTTGCATATTTACATATTACTCTATGAATGTATGATCCTACATAACTCACAATACAAGTAATAAAAAAAAGGGGCTCATTAATTGATTCAAACTTCATTAAGGAGAAGTGTAAAATATATCCTTTAAAAGAAAATGCCTCACCTCATGGAGCTTTCATTTTTGTCTGGATCTCTCTTCCTCATGGAGTAATTTGTACTAAACACGCTAATTTCCCTTTTTAATTTAAGAATTAGTAGAAGTAGTTTTTTTTTTTTTTTTTATAAACAAATTTACAATAGGTCGAATTCGAATCATTGTTTTAAGAATGAGATAATATATTTATACATAACTTGATATTACTGAACCCGAAGACCCAAATACGAATTAATAAAAAGTAATTTAATAGCATTTTAGTTCCATTTTTTTACTTTTCTTTTTTCTTGGCAGACTTTTCTTATAGTCCCCTTGCGTGGAATCAACTCTCTGTGCTAATGGCGGCCAAAACTCTTTTTTCATTTTTTATTTTTATCAGCTAATGGCGGCCAAACCCTTTTTTTTTTTTCTTTTTAATTTTGACCAGTTAATGGCGGCCAAAACTTTTTTTGATCAGCTCATGGCGGCCAAAAGTATAATGCTCTGCATGCTAATAATATTCCCCTTAATTGGGTTGTCCTTTTTGCTGTTTCTTTGATTAGGATCAGGTGGATAAGAGGAGATCCACCTGAGTAGCCGGAAGAAGGACACAAAAAAATGGCAGCATTTTAATTTGTAAGCCTAGTGGGGGAGGTGTGTGTGGATATGGCTAAATATTATTTTATTAGGTTATGTAAATTTTGTTTAGTTTGAGTGGTATTTATTAATAAATAATTTTGTAAATAAGTATAATATTTAAAAATATTAATATATAATTTTAATTTTAATTTATTAAATAATGAATATTAATTATTTTTAATAATAAAATCAAATTAATATTTTTAAATTTAATATTGTATATAACCTTGACGTCATGCCATATGCCCATAACCACACCTAGTGGGCTAATGGACCCTTCGCTCCACCTCTATGTTTGATTTTGTTCCTTTTTATCTTTTTAATGAAACTCTACGTTTTTTTTTTTATTCAAAAATCACACATTATGTTGTAATTAATTTAGAATTAAATCGGATCACTCCATGTTCTTGTTTAATAAAAGATAAATTGTACTTTTTACATGATTTTGGATTGATGCGCTTCACCCTTAAATTACAAAATATACATTTTAATTAGTATGTAATTTAAAAAGTAAACTTAATTCCTATAAATTATAAAATTATAAATAATTTTAATAAGTTATCCTTGAAACTCTCACTCATAAAAATAAAATTTTATTCTTTAAATTAATACTTGTAAGTTAAATAGTTTGTATTTTGTATATACTTATAAAATTAGCTTGATTAAAGGCCTAAACACTTATAATATCTTAAAAAATTATGAAAATAAGATATAAATTATACTTGTATCTATCTATAAGAAAATTTCAATTTAAATTATGAGCCATATATCATGTTTTAGCATCAATTTAATAAACTTTACACGCGCCATGCACGTGATGGAATCGCACATGGTTTCACCCACATGCAAGACGTTTGATCTCTTTTAATATTGGTCCAATGCAGTAACTTAAATTAACCTCTGATCTAGACCCTTCTTTGATGGGATGTGAGTGAAGATCATAATCCATATTAAATCTTAAAAGAAAATTATTCTTTTTGTTCACTTTAAGCAAATTTAGTTTAATTTTTTAATTTTTAAAATATAAAAATTAGATAAAAATTTAATAATTTATATAAATAACAATTAAAATATTTTTTATCTTTATATATAGTTCTTGTTAAATATATTTATTTAATTAAAAAAGTTTAAACTATTATTCATATAAACAATTAAATTTGTATTTAAATTTTATATTTTAAAATTTTAAAAATTAAATTATATGTATTAAAATAATAATAATAATAATAATAATAAAATATAGGATAAAGTTTCCCAAAGTAATGTTTTCAAAGTGATAATGGATATGATTTTGAAAGAAATTTTGGTTAGTGGAGGTGCGAACCAAAGAATTTCGGGACCAACAAAACAGTGGCATTTGGCATTTAGTTGAGGTGGCATCATAAAATGGTGAAACCCAAAAGAATCTTGTAGAAGCCACATTTTATTCTCACCAATCTATCATTTGTTGTTGAGGGCACTGAATTTTTCTTATCAATATCTTCGCTCTCCATAGATTATGGAGCAAGAATAGCACAAAAATGGGGATTTCTTCGTCAAAGACAACGGATATGCGAGTCAAATGATTTTGAGATAATTTTTTTATCTTATCTTTTTGTATAACATGATATATTATTTATATGATTAAATTTTTTTATTCATATGAATCTCATAATATTAAATATATCAATTTGATTAATAACATATGAAAATTATATCAAAAAATAATATAAAAAGTTATTCTTATAGTATTGTCCTTATTAAACAAATTAACCTAACGGGGGAGTTAAGAAAGATACAGGTTGAGTTGGATTCCATCTTCTTTTTTTTTTTTTTTTTATTTTGTTTTTATATTATTTTTTAAAAATATTTAAATAATTTTATATCACTTGGATTTAGTCCGCGTAAAACAGTTTTTCAGTGTGTAT